CCATTAGGTAATGTAAAGCAAACTGTGGCTTGCCTTCTACTTTCAGTAGAAACTTCATATGTTCCATGCCGTCTTCTTTTTATAGGACAAACCGTCAAAAGGCCCATTATATACGAATTTTGCTTTACATTATCACTCAGCGCATAGAATTCCCTAAAGAGGTACATTTTTGTTCATATGGAATATCAGCACACTTGTATCGGCACTTACAATCAACCTAAAAACAAAAAGTAAAATAAAACGTTTGAAATTAGATAAAAACCGCCATCTTACTGTTGCTGCTGGTGCGGCCTTGGTTTTCACGAATTCCTTATTGTTGCCAACGTATTCTAAACCTTGGCTTCTTCTCAGTTTATTATTCGATTTGGCGCAACCTTCGCCAGATTTTCTATTTTTCTTTTTATTATTTTTATTAGTTTCCATTATAAACAAGCAATATGTAAAAAAAACGTGAATACAAGAACAGTCTTCGAAAACTTAAAATGTGACTCGAAACAGCTGTGCCATGTGGATACTGCAGTGGCACTTAGCACGGTTTTCAACACACAATATGCGGGACTTGACTCGTGCGACATCTTTGTTACAGTATTTAAAATAGTTCCAGAGCGTAGGGCACATAGCCCGCTTTATGCGTTATTGGCGATGGCATTTAGCACGCATTAGAGGTTAAAAGTTATTTTTTAAATTTTTGGCACTTAGCCCGGTTTTCATTTCAAGTCTTCATATTATTTGGTTCTCAAAAATTTAGTGCAAAAGGCAGTTAAGTTACTTAACAACAAATTTAATAAATAACTATAAACTAAGAGGCGAAATAACTATTTTATTATACCATTACCAAAATGTCTACAAAGATTTTAACAAATAAATAACTTTTAATTACAGCCTAATTTTAAATTGCAGAAATTCAGTCAATCAGTTTAGAGCTGACGTGAGACTTTTTATCAAAGAACAAAAATATACAGGGTTGTTCACCACATACGACACGGAGTATTGTAGCTAAACGATTAGATTTTTACAAATTGTAAGTTTTGAGTTCGTTGAAGGACTATCAGAGCTACAATTTAAAAATATTTTGACAAGATACAGAGTGTCCCAAATAAATAAAAAATATCAAAGTTTTTTTTTAAATGGAACACCCTGAATATTATTGCATTTTTAGTTTCTACGATTAAAATAAAGGTAAATTTGATTAAGGTTTATTATACTTAAACCTTATCGTTTTTGAAATATTTTCAATTTTGTGAAATTGCAGTATAAATTTTAAGGCTTCATTTCTCCGAGGGTATCAAAGTTTTTAATACTAAATATTTACTGAAGTTTATTTATTGATCAGTTATTGTGTTGCATTAATAAAAATTATACTACCTTATACAGAGTGTCTAAAAATTTATTTTAAATAATTACTAGATTTAAACGGCAATAACTTGTTTAATCTAAATGAAACAGCCCGTATATTTTATGAGAATCAGATGCACAATTTAATTGTCTATCAAATTGTATTATGCCACTTTTTACCTATTCCTTCAAGTTTTCATAGAAAATGCATTTTCTTATAATTTAGACCTCATTTATCAATATACCCATGGAATATTGACATTTTAGATTGTTTTTAAAACAACAAATGTACAAAATGTACAGGCTAGTAATATTATCGTTTTTAGTAATACGATAATATTACTAGCCCATTTGTATGAAAAAAGAAAACTATTTAAATCTTTATAAAATAGTATACATTTAATTAAATATACCACCAGTATTTCCGCCCAAATACTAATTAATTACATACTTAATTGTGTTCGTTAATAAATTATTCTAAATAAATGTGGATTTGAATCAGAAATCAATATAATGATAAGTTATGAAAATGAACGTCTCTGTTGTTATAAATAAGCGTTTGTCAAAAAACGAAATAACATTTTTAGAAGTGTCTAGCCCTAGCAGTCAACTATTAAGCTTGACCAATCAGGTTGGTTAGCGTGGTTATTTGGAGTGCGTTAATTCATTTGTGTTTGTCAAAAACTCTAACGTGATTGGTCGGGCTTAATAGTTGCCTGCTAGGGCTAGACACAAGTACATTTTTAAGGTGTTAGTTTTTTTACCACACTGTCTAATACATAATTCAGTTTTTTAGTATTTGAAGCAATTATTATTAATCAACGCAAACAGTCAATTAATGTAGTTTGAATACTGGAATCATATTAATTGGTCCTCTTTAACAAATATTTAAACAGTTTTTTTTATTTTTAAATGAAATAAACGAACTATATCGACAATATTAGTATCTGTACTCTAAAAATTTGGTACATCTTTAAAAATATATTTAAAATGTCAGTATTCCATGGATATATTGATAAATGAATTCTAAATTACAAGAAAATGCATTTTCTACGGAAACTTGAAGAGATAGGTAAAAAATGGTATAATACAATTTGATAGTCAATTAAATTATGCATCTGATTCTTATAAAATATACGGGGTGTTCTATTTAAATTAAACAAGTTATTGCCGTTTAAAGCTAATCATTATTTAAAATAAATATTTAGACACTCTGTATAAGGTAGTAAAATTTTTATTATTGCAACACAATAACTGAGCAATAAATAAACTTCAGTAGATGTTTAGTATTAAAAACTTTGATATCCTCGGAGAAATGAAGCCTTGAAATTTATACTGCAATTTCACAAAATTGAAAATATTTCAATAACGGTAAGGTTTAAATCCAATAAACCTTAATTAAATTTACCTTTATTTTAATCGTAGAAACTAAAAATGTAATAATATACCCTGATCCATTTAAAAAAATACAACTTTGATATTTTTTATTTATTTGGGACACTCTGTATCTTGTAAAAATATTTTTATATTGTAGCTCTAATAGTCCTTCAACGAACCCAAAACTTACAATTTGCAAGAATCTAATCGTTTAGCTACAATATTCCGTGTCGTATGTGGTGAACAACCCTGTATGCAGGGTGTTTCAAAACAAATGCGAAAAACTTCAGGGGGTGATTCCTTGTTCAAAATAAAGGGTAGTTTGCTTTATAAACGTTGGGTCAAAAGTCAACCATTAGGGAGATATCGCGGTACAAAGATGGCGGAAAAATAATGTTTTTATTTTTTATCTTGAAAACGAAAAGAGGTAGACTAATAAAATTTTATGGAAGCATTACTGTTATGAAAACACACTTCCTGGTAATTTTTTCATTTTTTTAAAATGAGTGGAGGGGGTTGAAATAAACTGCCCCTATCATTCTTGTTAACGAAATTTAAAGAAAAATCTTATCACACACATGCAAAAAAATTAATTTGGATAGTTTAGTTTGTTTAGAAATTTTTTATCTCTTGTGTTTTTTTTTGATAAAACTCACCGATTTGAAATTAAAAAATAAAATGTAAAGCATTACATGTCAGGACAAAAAACATTTTTAGATTAAGAATCTAGTGATAATAACGATAATAATAATCATCTAGATAATAACGTATTGCAGTAGAGTAATGTCAAATAAAATAATATTAGGAACATCCTAAAAAGTAACAGCGGTGGACTAGATTTTTTCCTAAAAAAAATTACTGCAGCCAACTAGATTCTTTATCAGAAAATGTTTTTTGTCCTGACATGTAATGCTTTACATTTTATTTTTTAATTTCAAATCGGTGAGTTTTATCAAAAAAATACAAGAGATAAAAAAGTTTCTAAACAAACTAAACTATCCAAATTAATTTTTTTGCATGTGTGTGATAAGATTTTTCTTTAAATTTCGTTAACAAGAATTATAGGGGTGGTTTATTTCAACCCCTTCCACTCATTTTAAAAAAGTGAAAAAATTACCAGAAAGTGTGTTTTCATAACAGTAATGCCTCCATAAAATTTCATTAGTCTATCTCTTTCCGTTTTCAAGATAAAAAAGAAAAACATTATTTTTCCGCCATCTTTGTACCGCGATATCTCCCTAATGGTTGACTTTTGACCCAACGTTTATGAAGCAAACTACCCTTTATTTTGAACAAGGAATCACCCCCTGAAGTTTTTCTCATTTGTTTTGAAACACCCTGTATATAAGAAATAAAAAAAAAGAAAAGATGGTACTATTTCAACAGGTTAGTATTTTGTTATATTCTTTACTAGCTTATACCCGCGACTTCGTTCGCGTCGAATTAATCATTCGTAATGGTGATGATAAAGCAAAGCAAGAATTTTCATTAACATACAAACTGGATAAAATTTTCTCACATTTAAGTCAGCATGAGAAAAAACAATATGGCGATATTATTATATAACTTGGTAATATTCGAGAGGTAGTTTCATCTCGTTGAAGTTTTACTTTCGAAAAATCCGTTTGCCGTTTACCAAAAATAAGCTTTTTACATCAAGCAGTTTAAGCAGAATCGTGATTACTCAATGGTCATATTTTATGAAACACCCTGTATAAATTTTTAAAAAATCTTAAAATATGTAAAACAACAAAATAAAATATACGTGTTCAAGAGTTTTTCCGAAAAAATCAGAGGTTTTTAAATAAAAAATATTCTAATATTTGAGGGGTGGTTTCACCCCCTTAGAATTCGAGTTTCGAAAAATCCCTTCTTACCGAATCTCTACACCTTAAAGTCAATCCGTTTTCCAAAAATCAGCTTTTTACGTCACGCGCTTTAAGCAGGTTCGTGATTAATCAATGACCAGATTTTTCGAAACACCCTGTATAGATTTTTGAAAAATCTTAAACTATGTAAAAAAATAAAATATACGTGTTTAAGCGTTTTTTCGGAAACTTTACCGTTTTTTAAATAAAAAATATTGTAATATTTGAGGGGTGGTTTCACCTCCTTGGAACTAGAATTTCGAAAAATCCGTTCTTATTGAACCTCTGCACCCTAGAATCAACCTGTATGCCCAAATTGAGCTTCTTACGTTGAGTGGTTTGAGCAGGATCGTGATTAATCAGTGAGTCAGTCACTTAAGGATTTTATATATTAGTATAGATTTGTTATGTCATTCGTACCTGTGATCCCAGAAATCTTTTTCTGTGACGTTTAGTGATGCATGTCCTTCAGAATATTCTGTTCCTCTATAATTACCTAACCAAACGTCATACCCGGCATCGTGCAACTGGAATGCTGAAAGAAATGCTTGTCAGTCTCTGTTTTATATTTGCAAAACTTCGTTAAGAAGATAAAAAAGGTAATAAAATATAAAATTATTGAAATATAAAAAGTCAAGAAGAAACTTAAATTTTAAAATAAAAAAAAATATTTTTTCTGTACCTGTCTGATTTGTATTTTTTTGGAAAAATCCACAATACTTTGATATCTACAGAAATAGTCAAAATTTGTGTGACTTTGTATTTAGTTCAATATGTACCGGGTTTGCAACTAAGAATGGACGCCGGCTGTATCTCAGAAACTACTATCGTATAACATTGGGAAAAAAATTCTAATAAGTAAATCGACCAATAGAAATCGCTGGAAATTATTTCTGGAAGTTCAAAAAATGTCCGCTAGGGAGCGTTTCTCTGGTAGCCAATCAGAAAACAGGGTTTTTCTCAAAAATATGCAAGTGAACAGGTATTTTAAATATTACTATTGTAATCATCAAGAAATTTTTAATTTTTATGGCATACAGTATTTTGCTCTATCTCATAAAATAAAGTGGTGGGGGAAGGTTAAACTTGCTTTTATTAAAATAAGGATAACTCTGGTTTAGGTTACCCGATTTAAACAAACTAGGGCTCGTTTAAAAGAGCTTTTCTTCCTCAATGATCTCCAGTATAAATTTCGTATCTATAATTTTTTTCGTGGTAGCTAGAGGGCGCTGTTTGACATCATAACACATATTGCATTTTTGCATAAAAAAATTAAATAGTAGGTTATATATGTTTCTTTTTACACAGTTAAATAGAGCACAAAATTTCCAAAATATCAGCGCCAAACCGCAACTTTCTATCTTCTCTCTAACGGAAGACATTAAGAGAACAAATCATGTTAGGCTGCCTCTTAGGATAATAATAATATGATCTAAAAATTGTGGTAGTAGGCTAGGACACAAAAAGAGGTAATTTTGTTACGTCAAAATATCAAAACGTTTAAGTTCAGTTTTCATGCATCCGAATTTCGGGCGTTTTCTTAAAAAAAATGACGTCATAAATATTTAAACGTGTTTATGTAACTTTATCATCCATCCATATAATTTTTACGAATTTCTTAGTTAATTATACGTAGGTAGTTCTCAGATTAAAATAGAATTTAGAGAATAGAATTTTTTTTTTCCCAAAGTTATACGATAAGTAGTTTCTGAGATACAGCCAGCGTCCATTCTTAGTTGGCCACCCGGTACATATCAATAGATAATATTAAGTGCAAATACCACATGTAATATGGTATTTGGTATGTAATCGATTGAAAAGACGACATTGTAAAAACGATATAAACTCACCGGCAAAAAAAAACGGCCACTAAAAACTAGTCCTAATTTCAAAGTTGGATTTCTCGCGAACCACTCATCAGATTTTGATGATTTTTCTTTTATATTCTAAATTAATTCCTTCTTAACGGATGCTATGTCAGAAATTTTTCTTCCTAATTTATTTTGAGCATATACAGGGCACAACAATAAGACGAAGTTCTTTGACCGAATTTTGTAACACCCTGTAGGGTGCAGTAGCTGTAGTAGCTATTGCTAAATCAAATCACATTGTAGCCTCATCTTTTCTGAGCATTTTGTTTTTTAATCGCGACAATTATTTCTGTCTGTATTGGAGATACGCTGCTTTAAAACGAACGTCTCGGAAAAATGCTTCGTAGGCAGAAAGTTTTATGTGTAAATAATCAAGGCGACATAGGCGAAAACAGATTTATGAGTATTTGCAATATGACAACGGTTGTCATATTGCCATTATCTGTGACGGATGTTGCTCGTATTGTGGCTTTAATTGAGGATGGCCGAAGTCATCGTTATGAGTCCGATACCATGGGTATACCTCAAACAACAGTCCAGGATGCCTGGAATCGGTATATGGAAACGGGAAATTTCACCAGGTGAGTGGGTTCCGGAAGGAAACGAAAGACAACTGCAATTGACGACCGCTTTATTGTCCTGAATACTTTACGAAATCGTAAAGTAATTTAACATCTGCTATAAGCCGTGCGTAGAACTCAAGTTAGTGAGAGAACAATCCGTCGAAAATTAAAAGAAAACAGCTTGTCTTCAAGGAGGCCTGCCATAGGACCCCAGCTACTTTTAAGACATCGTCGAGCATGTCTTCAGTTTGCGCGTTTACATGTGAATTGGGATATTGAGCAATAGACTAAAGCTTTTTCCCAGGCGTTTATTTTAAAGCAGCGTATCTCCAATACAAACAGAGATAATGTCGTGATTAAAAAAACAAAATGCTCAGAAACGACGAGGCTATAATGTAATTTGATTTAGCACTAGCTACTACAGCTGCTGCACCCTACAGGGTGTTACAAAGTTCGGGCAAAAAACTTCGTCTTATTGTTGTGCCCTGTATATGCTCAAAATAAATTCGAAATAAAAATTTCTGGCGTAGCATCCGTTAAGAAGGAATTAATTTAGAATTTAAAAGAAAAATCATCAAAATCTAATGAGTTGTTCGCGAGAAATCCAACTTTGAAATTGGGACTAGTTTTTCGTGGCCGGATTTTTTGCCGGTGAGTGTATTTATTGTTAAACTGAGATTTACTTCTAAGCTTTCTATAATCTTTTTTTTTCGTAATATGATCACAGCATGTTTACCTATGGACCTCTTTCCTAAGCCAACAAAAATTCCGGAAGTGCTCTGGACGCCATGCAACATAAAAATTGGTGGTTTAGTTTGTGAAAAGTCTGGTATCCTGAAAACGGACAACTGGAATCCATCTGCAGTCTGCACTTTGTATTGTATGAGAGGGTATCCAGTCCGTTGGATTATTTCTGGCTAGAAATAAACATTGAATAATATAAATATCCATATATCCACACCGCTTTACCAATCTGGATGATTCTTTATTTAAATGAAAGGTAAAAATTTCCAGATTGTGTTGGGTAAATAAAAAAATATATAAGAAAATTCAAAGGGGTATATCAAGAAAATCGACAATTGAAAGAGAAAACATAGACAGTGAATATACAGGGTCCTACTAATTCGAGGTACGAGCATTGGTATCAACTATCTACGTACGAGCATTGGTATCAAATTGGGGCAAAGTTGCGCTTTGGAATGTTCACCAAGATGTCATCAAAAATTTTTTAAACATTTCAAGGATTGCTGAGGTTTTTGAAAAAAACTGATTTTTTTGAAAATCAATTTTATTTTTTTCTGTCGTTATTTTTTAGAAAATCAAGAAACTAATTGCACAATCTCATAGCCACTTTATTAGGGCTATCTGACAGTATTTTTAGATTTCAAATTAGCTCATAATTTTTGACATACAGAGGTGAACTTAATTTTTTTAAATACGGACCTGCATTTTTTATTCCAGATTTCCAAAGAACTCGGTCTCGTGAGTACAATAATATGCCACACTTAATATTTTCTTTGTTTTGACATTTGAACACAATTTATTTAAACTAATTTCAAGTCCGGCTCTGTTTTTTTTAAATATTTAATCTATTCATCCTTACAATATTGATAAGCTTTCAAACTTAACAATGACGTGGGGTAAAACATTGAATACGGAAAATCAAATGCAATAAAATAATTAATATAAATATAATACAATATAAACAATCAAATCATTTTCCCGGAAGATGGATTGGAAATGGTAGAGCAGTATAATGTCCAGCGAGGTTCCTGGACCTATCAACAAGGGGCTACATTATTTGATGTCATTTGTAAAAGTGAAATCAATTCATCTCAACAATTAGAATAAAGAGTACAAAATGCATTCAGAAGTATAAGAAAAAAGTTGAAAGAGCTATAAATAAAATTGAGCGAAAAATAAATTTGTGCAATAGGGAGTGTGGTAACTCTTTCGAACACGCAGAACAATAGAAATTAGTTTGTAGAAATTGATTGATTTATTTATTTATAATAACTACGAGTTCTTTCAAAACATGAAATAAAAAATGCAGGTCCGTATTTAAAAAAATTAAGTTGGCCTCTGTATCTCACAAATTATCAGCTAATTTGAACATATAAAAATACGATCAGATAGCCCTAATAAAGTGGCCATGAGAATGTACAATTAGTTTTTTAATTTTCTAAAAAGTAACGACAGGAAAAAATAAAATTGATTTTCAAAAAAATCAGTTTTTTCCAAAAAACTCAGCAATACTTGAAATTTTTATAACTTTTTTGATAGCATCTTGTTGAACATCCCAATACGGCAACTTTGCCCCAATTTAACCATATTCGTATCTATTACAGTTACCGAGATACCAATGCTCGTACCTCGAATTTGTAGCACCCTGTATGCACTATAGCTGCTTAACTTCAGGATATGTCAGTTGAACTATATTTTTATTTTTTCTAAATCAATTAAATATCATTAAAGAACCAAAAAGTAAAGAAATTGTGATAAATTCTATACCTAGAGATTAACTGGTGTATATGTAACACATGCCACTAATATTGTTTTAATTATATTTTAATACATATGTATATTTAATTTTGAGTTTGATAAATTTTAATACAGATTTAAATGATTAAATAACTAATTTAGTAAATTATGCTGATTTTGAGTTACATAAAATGGGTAATATATACTTATCACTTTGATATATTGTCACTTTAGCTAGAATAAGTACAAAAATTAAGTAACATAATTACTTAATTACAGAGATTGATAACAACATAAACGCTGACAAGTCTTTTCTTGATATTCGTATAGCTAATATGCCCTTCTTTTAAGTTTGCATTAGTTTTTATTAGGTGGAATTTAATGAAAAATATGAATATAATGAATTTAGCACAAACTAAAGTAATGTACAACAAACTAGTGGAAAGAAAATACATTCTAATAAATAACACAACAATGGAAAAATATATACCGGGTGCGTCTCAAAAGTGGCTCACCCCCTATAACTTTTTTATTATATCAGATAAAAAAAACGAAATTTGGTATGTTAGTATATGACATAAATTAGGATTGATCGACGTATACAATTCTTTTCGGCCACATCCTGTTTCACCGGAAATGACTACCACTTTTGATGTTTAAATGGCACCCTCGGTATTTTTTATTTTATTTGATAGAAAATGACATTCTGAATAGAATGACATATCATATGTCAACTTTTAACATTTTTGCTTAAAACAAAATTGAATTTTAAAATTCAATTTAGAGTGCCATGGATGTGTTAAAAAGACTAATTGAAAATCAAGGAGCCTTGGAAAAATAGATTTGATTGTCTAATGTTTTTCGTGTGTTATTCTAGCGGGTTAAAAGATATCCAAATATTTTTAATCGTAACTCAATTTTTTTCAAATGGAACGAGGGTGGCTTATTAGCATATTTGGAAAAAGCATTTTCTTACGAATAATTTAACACTTGGTACTTCGAGTCAAATTGTCGTTATGAACCGCATGTTGCAATTTCAAATAAACCATATTCGAAAATGTCAAAAATTGACATATGATATGTCATTCTATTCAGAGTGTCATTATCTATCGAATAAAACAACAAAACGCCGAGGTTGCTAGAATAAGTACAAAAATTAAGTAACATAAAATTTTAAGGCATTTAAAAATCAAAAGTTGTAGTAATTACCGGTGAAACAGAAAGTGACAGAAAACAATTGAATACGTTAATCAATCCTAATTTATGGCATATATTAACAAAAGAAAAAATAAAAAAGTTATAGGCGGTGAGCCCCTTTTGAGACACACCCGGTATATTTGGGACTAACTAATACACAGCTCGAGATCTCTACTACCAGAAATTAACCGAAGAATTAAGTTAGCATAGAGTACTTATGGAAAAAACTCAATCATATTCAAATCTAGAATGCCACTCTAGTGGATACGACAAAAAACCCAGGTAATAGATGTCATCTACAGAGTCAAATCCCTCAAATGGCAATGGACAGGACACCTGGCAAGAAGAACGGACAACAGATGGACCACAAAAATTACGGCATGGTACCCACGAGGAATTAAGAGACCTAGAACAAGACCGAACCTGAGATGGGACCATGATATTAGGAAATTAGAAGGGATAACTTGGGCCCGCAGAGCCAACAATAGACAAGAATGGGCCCAACAACAAAGATAGTATGTGAGGGAAACTAAACCATAATTGGAAATAATAAACTGAAAATGTTGATGATGCATATAATTAAAATCTTACAGATATTTGAAAAATTATTAAATTGAATTATCGAGTGTCATAGTAAAGTTAAGTAATGTTTGTAACAGTTCCCAGGTTTCTATACTTTATCAAATTACCCGGGATGATTTTTTTAAACGGAATACCCTGTATATTATTGTATTTTTGGCTTCCTTTCGGATCACTTTACATAATTCTAAAATATGAGTAAATATGTTTCGATAATTTCAGGGATATCAATAAACAAATAAATAATAAACAAAAGATGTTATCGTGGGGACTATAATAAAAAAGAAAAATGAAATTATTGGGCAAATCTACAGTAAAGATGCGTATTCATTATCCGAATGAACGAACGAACGAGCGAGCGAACGAATGAAATTCGGTATATTTGGACGGTGGACCGAACGCATGCGGTCGTTCGTTTGTTCGTTCGCTCGGCCATCCGTTTCGAGTCGGTACATCAAAGGCGTTCGCAAACGAATGGGTTAAGGTGTTTTCGTTTGGTTCTAAAATCCGGTTTCGTCCATACTACTACCGAACGAACGAATGAACATACGTTCGTTCGTTCGGATAGTGAATACGCACCTTAAGATTAGTCATGAAACATGGCTAAAATACGACTACCCGTAGACACTCAGTGTTTCTGCCTTCCGGCTTTCTACTACCAAAAAACCGCTTTTTTGTGGTTTTTTGGTAGTAACGCTTGCGAATTGTGAGCTACTGCTTAACCAGGTTGCAAATGGTGCCTAGTGCCTCGTTTGCCTCCCTTTTTATTTTTTCAGGATAGCTAGTTCATCGTTGCTGATTCCTCCCGTATTGATGAAGCATCTACTGGTAGTATTTTAGCCATGTTTCATGGCTAATCTTACTGTAGGTTTACCCAATAATTTCATTTTTCTTTTTTAAATAAAAAATACATATTTTTCAACTTTCTTTAAAAAAATATTACATCTACAAGAACTGTCCTGAAATCAAAACTATCTTAGGTATTTACTTTAGATGGTCTCTTCTTAATCTTAAATGATACAGGGTGTTCAAAATTCTACGCCAAACGTTCTGAAATCTAAAATATTTTTTCTTCGTGTTTTTTTTTAATGGAACACCTTCTATATTATTTTTTTATTAGATGGAGATTTAAAAGATGAACATTTTAAAATAGTTATGTTGTGATGTGTTGTAATAGTTTCGCAAATATACGCAGTATTATTTCATATGGCTCTTTCAACCGCTAAAAACGAGAGAAAAATTATTGGGTGACTTTGGTAAAAATTTACTGTAGAAGATGTTATGAAATATAAAACAGCAAATATCTGCGAAACCGTTAAAAATTTTGAAATACTCTAAATACGTAAAAAGGTTCATATTTTACTTCTCCATCTGGCGAAAAAAATTACCGGGTGTTCCATTAAAAAAAGCAAAGAAAAATTATTTTATATTTTAGAAAGTTTGGCGTAGAATTTTGAATATCCTGTATGATTTACGATTACCATATTTAAAGCAAAGTAAGTACATACCATCTAAACTAAATATCTAATAGAATTTTAATTTCAGGACAGTTCTTGTGTTTTTAATACTTTTTTTTAGGAAGGCTGAAAAAAATATTTTTTTTTTATTTATTTGTTAATATTTCTGAAACTATCAAAACATATTTACTCATATCTTAGGATTATGTAAAGTGGTCTAAAAGGAAGCCAAAAATGCAATAATATACAGGGTGTTCCATTTAAAAAAAAGTAATCTTGATCCACTCACACTTTTTTGAGCCACCCTATGGAAGTTAAAATGTTTTCCTGAAATACATCCTAATACATACTTAAGGCAAAGTTTACAGTAAGGTTTGCACTTAAACAAAAATCCCAAGTTTTTATTTTAGGAACTACAGATGCCCGACGCACTATTGCCGGACCCTAAATACAGGGTGGCGCACCTCATTCGCCTCGGTTGATTATACGAAAACGGAAAGATGTAGATACAAAATATTTTATGGGTATATGTGGGGAGGTAATCTGGCACAATTTAAAATTATTTTGAAATGCACAGGGTGTTTCAGAACTAAGATCAATACCAAAGTTATATTTTTTCTTATGGAACACCCAATATTTTATTTCATTTTTGGATTCTTGCGCCCAAAAAAAGGTATTTATTATAAGGGTTAAATATGTTTATAATCTTTTGTGTTTGAGATATTGAAAGATATTTAAATTTGCATGCTACAATAGAATAGATTATTAACACACTGTACTCGAAGAATCCAAAAAAGAAATAACATACCGGGTGTTAAAAAAAAAATATAACTTTGGTATGGATCTTAGTTCTAAAACACCTTGTATATTTCAAAATAATATTAAATTGTGCACATTGTCTCCTCACATATACCCATAAAATATTTCGTTTCTACATCTTTCCGTTTTCGTATAATCAACCGAGGCGAATGAGGTGCGCCACCCTGTATATTTAAAATTTTACATAATATTATTTAACCGAACTTGACGATTTAACATATTAAATAATATAATAACGCCGAAATAAAGAATATTATGATAACATATTATGATGCAAGATATACTAATGCTACCTATGCTCCTATAAAACCGCAATTACCATGTGTGTAGTAATAAGAATAAGCAACAACTTTTCTACAAAAAAAATGAATTAATTGCAACATATTATATAAACTTTAGAACCTTTAATACTTAAAAATATAACGCACGCCATTTTTAACAACAATTAATTATTTTGCTACAATTTGTGATTTTATGTTGCATAATAATTATGGTCTGTTAATTAAAGAAATATACGAGTAGAACATATTTTGAAAATATTTTTTTTATTCTATTACATTAAAAGATATTACAGCTATGGAAGATAATTAGCTAATTACTTTAGAATTGATAATAAATATTTAAATATTAATAATAATTTCCTTGGTGTTGCTGGTCTAATTGCGATTTTGACATAACGGCAAAAGAAATAAAGCAATTGTATGTTTTTTTGTCCGATTTTTATAGATAAAACAAATTCAGAACATGTAATTATTGATATAATGTTCAAATTAGCAGGTGTTAATAATATTTTTATTTATTTTTTTAAGCTTTCGTTTTTAGAGAAAATTCTTTACTGTCAATACCTCCAGAGAACAGAGAAGAACAAAATTTGGTACCTTAGTAATGACAACAGTCTTTGATTTTTAAATGGTACCCTCGGTACTTTTTACTTTATTTCATTGAAAATGGAAATTCTGAATAGAATGACATATCATATGTCAACGTTTTACATTTTCAATTAAAAAAAAAAAAACATTTAAATTTAAAATTTCCACATAGAGTGCAATGGCCATAATGTAACGACATTTTGACTCGAAATACCAACCATGTTGAATGACATATCATATGTCAACTTTTGACATTTTCGCATTTGGTTTATTTGAAATTATAACTTGCGGTTCGTAAAGAAAATTTGACTCGAAATACCAAGCGTGTGGTACCAAATTATTCGTAAAAAAATGCTTTTTCCAAATATGCTAATGAGCTGCCCTTGTTCCACTTGTTCCAAAATCGAGTTATGAATAAAAATACGATTTGGACATCTTTTAACAGGCCAAAAAAGACACGAGAAACATTAGACTATCAAATATGTTTTTCAAAAGTTCCTTGATTAAAAATTAATGATTTTAACACAGCCATGGCACTATTTTGAAATTTAAAATGCAATTTTTGTATTAAGAATGTCAAAAGTTAACATATGATATGTAATTCTAGTCAGAATGTCATTTTCTATCAAATACCATTTAAAAAACAAAATTTTTAGTAAATTTTGGTGAAACAGGAAGTGGCCCAAAGTAATTGAATACGTCAATCAATCCGGATCTATGCTATATATTAACATACAAAATTTCGTTCTTTTATCTGAAAAAATAAAAAGTTATAGGGGTGAGCCCCTTTTGAAAAACACCCGGTATAAGTCGTATACATATGGCATTGAAGAATATTGTGATATTCTAAATAAAACTATCTTAAATAAAACAATTTGCTGAAAACCACGACTTATTTGTAAATAACTATTAACCATCAAAAAAAATCCACAGCTTATTAAGTATCAGCTGGTTATCTTTGCTTGCTTTTGGATATCCGCGTGTCACTTTATGCGCCTATTCTCATAGCAGTCACAGCTAAGAGCAGCTTTTATTTAAAGTAAACTTTAATGTAACTCAGTTTTACGAGATATCTAGGCGGGTAGGCTAATTTTCATGCAAATAATCAATTGTAGGCAGGCTGGTTATAGATAGGCTGTGATGAAATTAATTACGTATAAATTTACCAAAAAACAGAACAAGTGTATTAATTTGATATGTATTGGCTATGGTATGGGACTATGGTAAAGTATTTAAACATTTTGTTATGTTATTAGATTTTCTAATTAGTATTTAGTTTTTAAATACCTATATATTTAAATTCCTTACAATAATTAATATGTAAATATAAATTTATTGAATTTTAATGTTTTTTTAATTGACTCCTTCAGGGATTATGGCTATCAACAAAATGCTAATTAAGCTTTATTAGGTTTTATGGTAGTTTAATTAACGACCGTAATTTTAATATCTAAATAGATTTGAATCATCCTGTATATCTTTAGAAATATTGTTAAAAGACGCGTTTATGTTTGCCCGCATATTTTTACAAAAAAAGCGGAGTGAAAATCTTAAACTGAAAAATCTGTAGTGGTCGAGAATCTCCTAGTCAAGTGCTAGGAGGAATTTCACTGGCTGGGTTTAAGGAGCATCTCACTGTCTTGACATAAAGACATATAACGATGCCGGATGGGACTACCTTGTCCGTCATACCAGGCACCATCTACTGTCTGTGGTCATGTCACCTTGCAAAGTTTGATACGACGCGACGTTTCGTTTACATCTTCATCAGGGTGGGACTAAGAATTTGAAATTGAAGAAAAATGTGGGTCGATTTTGGCACAATTGGGGACCGGCTACAGAACCCATGCCGCGATGCCTCTAAATGGACAAAATTATCAGAATTGTTCTTAATTATGGGTCGATTGGAGGAAGCTTTCTCTTCAATAGATTGCGGTATTAAAGTCAACGGCGAAGTCATTAATATTAGATTTGCCGATGACACAGTTCTTATTGTCGACTCTGATACTGGTCTCCAGAGTTTAGTGGAACGACTTGAAAGCTCCTGTAAGAAATACGGGATGAAGACCAATTCCTCTAAAACTAAAGTCATGGTATTTGGAAAGAACCAAAATGTAGCAATTCCTATTAAAATAGAGGGCAATACCTTAGAACAGGTCTACAAGTTCAAATATTTGGGGTCCTGAATAGTTAACCCCTTGAACAACGACGTGGAAATAAAAACCAGAATAGAACAAGCAAGAAATGCATTTTTAAAAATAAAGAACGTGTTAAAGAACCTCAGATTGGACTTTGTGTTGAGAACTAGGCTCGTTAAGTGTTATGTTTGGCTAATCCTATTATACGGAGCAGAAACATGGACACTGAAAGTTTAAGAGATGAATCGCCTCGAATCGTTCGAAACATAGATAATAATATATCGAAGAATGCTTAAAATTTCATGGACATCCCATATCACAAATACCGAAGTCTACAACAGAATAGGCAGAGAAAGAGAATTGCTCAATATAATAAAAATAAGAAAAACATCATACTTAGAGCATATATTGATAAATGAAAAATACTACGTCTTACAATTAATAGTAAAATTGAAGGAAAAAGAGATCTCGGCAGGAAGAATCTATCTTGGTTGAGAAACATCAGAAACTGAACTCACTTAACTTTTGAAGAACTCATAAGGAAAGCCGAGAATCGTGAAGATTTTGCCAATGTGATCGCCAACCTCCACGAAAGAGACGGAAGACGTAAAGAAGAAGAAGAATGTTTTGATGTAGTACTTTATCTTCAACGTATAGATGCATCTGAAACGTGATTATCTTAAAAAATGCAGCGAAGTCATAAATTTCATAAAGATAAATAAACTGAACAGATAAATTATTAATAATATTATACTGCACCACCTTCTAATACACTCGATAGATTTTTACAACAATCCACTTATAAGGAAACTGCTCGGTGTTCTAGACAAGGTCGCAAACAAATCAAGTTTAAGGAAATTCGATTGAATAACATGAGGAATGCGCTCGGTACTTACCACGGTTGAATCAGCCGCAAAGTCGTACCAACAGTTGCTATTGTTTTCCATGTGAAAATAGTCTCTTATAGTCGGGCACACGTTGTTTTTCATCGCATGCAGGCCTTCCATGAACAACCCCATCAGCACCAACGCTAACGACGTTTTTAAATCCATGGCTTGTCACGTTTTTTGAATTTGCTGTATCTCGAACTGGATTTCATCTATGCTACGGTTATGGCACTTAAAATTAACTAAGTATATTTGTTCTGTTATGCTCTCGCACGATCTAATAGGTAAGTTAGTGTTGCAGTTGCAATTTCACCGAGTGCAGATTTTGCTTCGAGTGCACTTTCTTCGTGAGCAAGATGTGGCGTGCCGGTTTTTATCGGACTACTGTTTTCCGTTCGGTTTGATTATGCGGCCGGCCATCTAGAAGGAGAAAGCATTATTAAATCTTTGAAATAATATCGGTGTGTGTCTTTATTATGTTAATTATGCAATGAAAGTTTCGCACGAAAGGTTCAAACGGGTTTACCAGATATAAATACCTATATATAAATACTATCTTTTTTTTTTCTCTGGTGCATCAAGATGTTATTGAAATTTTAAAGGGGATAAACGCATAAACATGATGTGATTAATTTCTGTTGGACGTTTTCTTACAAAAATATTTATTTGGTTATACAGGGTGTGTGATGCATCTTTACTGGTAGTAGAGTTAGATCCCAGAAACACGCCCATAAAATTAATAAAAAATTGTGTCGCATGTTCACTCTCCTAAAATTTGTTAGCGGTGTTATCAAATCTTTACAATCTTTAATTCGAAAATCTGACTGTACAGGGTGAGTCAAGGATAGAGTAAAGTCCATTATCTCATTTGTTTCGAGGTTTACAAAAAAATGTGGCGAATATGACATATGTTTTTTTTAAATGCAACACCCTATTTTTTATTTTATTTTTAGATTTTGCGTAAAATTCCATAACATTTTTATATATAATGTTATATACCTAAAATTAATAGTTTTTGTTATATTTAAATTTGTTTAAACAAATGTTAGATTGCAGTGGGTTAAAAAATTGTTAATGATAGCATTGATTCTGAAGTTGGACAACTAGAATTTGGTAGGATAATTTTATAGAGATATAGGAAAAGACCTATGTAAAGATATTTTAGTTAGATGTTACAGGGTGTTCAAAATATATTTAGGAATTTCAACTACTTAAAATTAAGGAATTTCAATGTTTTTAAATGGTACTCCCTATATATTATCATTTTTTCTGATAGACTTTACCAAACTCTTCAACTTTTATTAAGAATGTCATATACCTATTTTTATCAGTTTGCGATTTATTCCAATTTTTTCTATTTTTACCCATATTTTTAATACAATTGCGCTATAACATCGTAGTTGCCATGACAAAAAGTAATATTTATCACAATTTCATGTCTGTTAAGCAAGTTAAAAACAAAATTTGAATTTTAGTTTAATTTGCTGTAATAGTATAAATGGTAGAGATAATAGTTACAGATTTTCTTGAAATGAATTAGTCAATGTGATTGATATACACGGGCAAGCTTAGAAAACCACATTTTTTGGTTCAGTACTATATATTATACAGTACTTTGCTAACTACTATAAGGATAGATGTATATTATGTAGAAAACATCTTCAGTGTGTAATGGGACGGTTTCGCGGCAGTAGTAATATTGGCTTTACCAAATGAATTATAAACCAGAATTACTACGAGAAAAAACTTTACTGTATGTCGAAGAAAATTCATATATCAGTAGTCTTCAGCAATTAGGTAATCTAGTATTACCCTAATCTGTGGCTATTCGCGCCGACGAAAAATCCCAAGTGTCATCTTTCATAATATAGAAATACACCAAGAAATTCACTACTGCGATTTAGTTTATTTGAGTAAAGTTAATCAATTTTAACTAATACCAGCAATTGTAACTAATTATGAAGCTACTTGTTAAAGGTAAGTAATAAGTAGCGTTGTTTTGTCATGGCAACTATGATTTTATAGGGTAATTGTATTGAAAATATGGGTAAAAATAGAAAAAAAAGGGAATAAATCGCAAACTATTAAAAATAGGGATATGACATACTTAATAAAAGTTGAAGACTTTTGTTCAATCTATCAGAAAAAATGAAAATATATAGGGTATCCCATTTAAAAAATTTGAGATTTTTTAATTTTAAGTAGTTGAAATTCATAAATATATTTTGTACACCCTGTATCATTTAACTAAAATATCTTTACATGTATCTTTTTTTTCATCTTTATAAAACTCTCCTACCAAATTTTGGTACTCCAACTTCAGAAACAATGGTACCACTGACAATTTTTTACCACACTGCAATTTAACATTTGTTTAAATAAATTGAAATATTACAAAAACTATTAATTTTAGGTATATAACATTATATATAAAAAAGTTATGGAATTTTACGCAGAATCTAAAAATAAAATAAAAAATAGGGTGTTGCATTTAAATAAACATATGTTATAGCCGCCACACTTTTTTGAAGCATCTTGTATACTCTATAATAATTTGTGTATCTTAACCATCCCTATAACTTTTATATTAAACATTTTTTTGTAAACCTTGAAACAAATGAGATAATGGACTTTACTGTATTGTTGACTCACCCTGTATTTTTATCTCTATAGCGGGCGCGTCTCAAAAGTGGCTCACCCCTATAACTTTTTTTATTTTTTCAGATAAAAAAACGATATTTGGTAGGTTAGTATATTACGAAAGCGTAGAGCTGCCATCGCAACATTGAAAAATATTTTTAGCAAAATTTACACTTTTTCTGTAAATTTACAGATTTTCTGTAAATTTACACTTTTCCTGTAAATTTACAGATTTTCTGTAAATTTACACTTTTTCTGTTAATTTATGCGTTAGTGGCAACAGTGGTGCGTTATTCTACGAGTAGTTCCCATCGAATTCTGTTCTACGCCAGTTTATTCACAAAAGTCTTTACTAGTAAAGACAGAATTAGGGAACCACTGCGGCAATTAATTGAAGGATTGAAGACATGCGGACTATATGAAAAGATTAAGCAATATCCCAGTATATTCAAAGATATATTTTGTTCTGAAACCACACTCTCTTCAAAAATACTTGAAGAATTATTCCTCATCGTCTATACTGAACCTGGGTCTAACATAGTACAGAAAATCGGGTGATCTCTTATTTTAGGGATTATGTATTAAATTTCGAATGTGTGTGATATAATAGTATGGCATTTTTTTGTTTAATATGTTTTCTAATATGCTTTTAATCGACCCGGAAAGTATTTTCACCCTTTCCGATGCATTACTGTTTGCAAGAGGATCTGATGGCCTCCACCTCTGGGATGACGTAAACTGTCGTCTGCAAATGATGTAAACTTAGGGCATAACCATCCTCTAGCAGACATGTCAAAATTTCTTTGTGACTTAATCCGATATGAAAGTAGGTTTTAATGTATTCGTCCATAATCTCTGATGAATATCTGTACTACTTAGGCACAATAGCAACTTAATCAGCGGAGAACAATGCTCACTTGTAACTAGTGAGTAACGAGCAGGTCGATGCCGAGACGTCATTCTGCTGGGTAGTAAATTTCGCATGCAATTTACAGAAAAAGTGTAAATTTACAGAAAAAGTGTTAATTTACAGAAAATCTGTAAATTTTCAGAAAAAGTGTAAATTTACAGAAAAAGTGTAAATTTACAGAAAATCTGTAAATTTACAGAAAATGTGTAAATTTACAGAAAAAGTGTAAATTTAACACATACAGAAAAAGTGTAAATTTACAGAAAATCTGTAAATTTACAGAAAAAGTGTAAATTTTGCTAAAATTATATTTTATTGTTGCGATTGCAGCTCTACGCTTTCGTAGTATATGGCATAAATTAAGATTAATTGACGTATTCAATTGTTTTTGGTCTCTTATTGTTTCACCGGAAATGATTACAACTTTTGATTTTTAAATTGCACCCTCGGTATATATTTAATTTATTCGATTGAAAATGACACTCTGTGTGTCATTTGACACAGCTGATTTGATTTTCGTGACACCCCATCATATTTCAACCTTTGACATTTTCGCTTAAAAAAATTCGTATTTTAAATTTCAATCTAAGGTGCCATGGCTGTGTTAAAAACACTAATTTTTTAATAGGAGCCTTGGCGAAATACATTTAACTGTCTAATGTTTTTTGTCTCTTATCCTGGCCGGTTAAAAGATGCCCCAAATCGTATTTTTAATCAAATCTCAATTTATTCAAATTAAACAGAAGTAGCTCATTAGTATATTTGGAAAAAGTATTTTTACGAATAATTTGGTACCACACACTTGGCATTTCGAGTCAAATTGTCAGAGTGTCATTTTCTATGAATAAAGTCAAAAAATACCGAGGGTGTCGTTTAAAAATCAAAATATTCTATTTAGAGTGTCATGTTCTATCGAATAAAATAAAAAGATACTGAGCGTGCCATTTAAAAATCAAAAGTTGTAATAATTTCCGGTGAAACAGGAAGTGACCAGAAACAATTGAATATGTCATAATTTATGTTATATACTATCATACCAAATCTCGTTTTTTTATCTTGTGATGTAATCTTCTAGCATTTTAACAAATGCTAATTGTAAATGTGATGTGTAAATATAAGTAAGCCTTGACGACATTGTATATTATGAGCAGAAACATTCCATATTTTTTGTAGCATAATATATCTCTAGCTTCATAGCAGTTAGTATTAAGTATTAAACAAGGTTCTGAAAAGTTTAGTTATTTTATTTATATAATATTTAAAAGAAAATTCTCTAAAATATTACATATCTGAAAAAAATAAAAAAGTTATAGGGGTGTGCCACTTTTGAGACGCACCCGGTACATGTATTATTATTTTTTTTTATTTGCCTTGTTATGTTAACAAACTAAGACAATGCATTATATACCTTTTTATCAATCGTATAATTTATTTGACGTCAAATTCCGCCGCGCAAAACGTTTTTTAACATGTACTTTTGAAGTGTATTTTTTTAGCGCGCCCAAACGTATATGTATGTTAAAAATGACTTGAGCGGTGCGGCGCGGCGCGGCGCACAGTGGCACAGGCAGTGTGAACGCACCTTAACAAAAATATGAAGGGGCTCGAAATATGCAATGTTTTAAAATTCGCCCCATATTTTCAGGACAAATAAATATGTGTGTCTTCTTGGCATTTAGTGGGAAAAAAGCTATTTAGCGTCAATGGCAATATTTTTCTCTTACTTTTAAAAATCGTCCATGTTTTATAATTGGTTTATTGGAATTTTATAAACTACTCTTATAGAAATCGTGGTAATATTCTCTTTTAAAATTAATATTAATTATTACATTTTAATTCAAATAATATTTCCTGAGGAAACTGAAATATGTTAATATCAGGAATTCGATTTCTATGAGTTTTCTATGGTAATTGTTTCATTTATTAGTAAAGTATATTTTCTTAGTTTGTTATTACTAATTTTAAACGAGTATTCTAGCTTTTAAGAAGTTTATAAGAAACATATTAATTATTTAGGTATTACAAAATACCTACTTCATGTAATGATGATAATTAAATATACCTACATTTTAATATATCAATAATTATTATAATAATATTCCCATTTAAATAAAAATGTGCACAATTCTTAAATCTCAAGGCAAGAATAATAAATAAAAGAAAAAAATATTCATATGAAAAAAAAAATTATATGGTCTTTGACTGATCTAATTGCAGGTAATTGATGTACAGGGTGACCCAAAATTGGAAATAAATTTTGAAATCCAATTTTTTAACAAAATGTACCCGGAAAGTAATTTCATGAGTGCGCTTTTCAACATGTGGTACATTATACTTATACAGGGTGAGTCTTAAATAAGTGCAAATATTTTTAGGGGAAGTATATTTCGATCCCAGAAACACGAGTTTTTTTTCGCGTAAAAAAATGAAAATTTGGAATTTTTTGAAAATACTTTTGGATTTTTTTTTAGTTTTTAGTTAAAAAAACATAAGTCCTTGTTAATTTGGCAACATAGGGTGTAGATTAAATTTACAAGAAAGAAAGCCCAGAAAAGATCCAGTGGTTTTGAAAATTTAAGCAAAAAATAATTTATTTTGGAAATTTTCAAAGTACTCGGTTATTTTGGATTTATTTGAAAAATGGTAAAGAGAAAATATGTTTCTTCTATCGGGATCTACCAGCTCTGAAAATATTTGCACTTATTTAAGACTCGCCCTGTATACATAACAAAACAAATATTGTATTTTACTTTTAATAATTAAAAAAAAAATCCAAAATCGTTTTCAAAATATTCCAAATATTGAAAGAAAAATTTTGCGCGAAAAAATATCAAAGTCGTTTTTTTGGGGTCAAAATATACAACCCATAAAAATATATGCACTTTTTTAAGACTCACCCTGATACATATTTTTTAAAAATATTGTTTGTTTACATCATTGTTTATCTATATACATAAAAACAAAATGTCACTAGATGAGTTAACTCCTTCATTATAATTCAATACATGACATCAACAAAAATTAACGGACCTGTATACCTAATGAAGAATAAATGTAAAAATTGTCACGGATCACTTTCATTTCATTATATTTAATTGAAATTCTAAACAGAAGATTCAATCTGCAAAAACAAATATCTAAACAATTTTTCAAAACTGAAATTAACTTATTGTAAAAAATAAATGCATGATTTTTTACTTATGTATACTAATGAATTAATCTATGAGACTACGATTAAAATATTATTTCTACTTACTTAAGGCACACTTCTAGTGTCTTCTATTCTCTGAAAAGCTTGTACTCTATCTAAACAAAACAAATTACTAATAAAAGCTCAACAAAATCCACTATACACAGTTTTTTTCCTATTATTCCATCACTACTATCGTCATTACGAGTCCTGTTGTTTCAAAGGCCATCACATCAAGCTAGTTAATGTGTAATTGGCGATTAGCAATTATGCAACGGAGTGTACTTGGTATTCTTTGCTAGTCGCCTTAAGACGTCGCGATAAAGAGATAGAAATAGTGTTTTAATTTTTGTGATTTTTCATCTGGTTTATGTAGCGGTGCAACAAGTGAGATGTTGCGCAAAGATAAAGAATAAATAGATTAAACAAGATGTTAAGCAGCTGGTTTGTGCAGTGCAGTTTGTTAAACGGCCCACAGACGATCCGATCTGTTGTACAACAAGTTGGACGATTTCATTTGATCTAATTGTTTAAACGATAATCGTAACGTCTGTGGGCTTGTCGTCCAACTTGTCGTTAAGACGTGGTTGGATCGTTTGATATTTCAGCATGTTGAAAAATCTGTCGTAGAACTTGGTTGGATCAAGATCAACGACAAGTTTGAACGTCTGTAGCTTTTTCACCGACTTGTTGCTACTATGTTAATACAGAAATACATCGTGTAGTGAGATTGTGGTGTTTCATCATGGAGGAAAATAAGGCAGTTTTGTAATAATTTATTGTACGAATCTTGGTCCATTTGTAAATAATTCTTGAAGTCCAGTGGCTCTGTAGTTCGCAGTTCATTAAGTAGATTCATATGCGAATGAATATGTCTTTGTAACAGCCATTTTTTACACCATACGCGCCTTTTCTTCTTTTGCAGTTTATTACTATTACCATCCGAAAAAAAAAGCGACTACTAAAGTAACTACGGTTTTTTTGACATGGTTTGTGGCATAGTCAAACATACACTGAGTCACTGAACTAATTCATTTAAAACATTTAACTAATCGTACTACAAGTCGCTTAAGAATGTCGTTACGTTTGTGTACAACCGATTGTATCGTCTGTGGGCCCCTTTAGAGGAAAAGCCGGATGCCGTGTTCCTTTGTTAAGTTTTTCCAATTTTTCTGAATTGTTAGAAATATGTAGTGGTTCGCACCACCCTATAAATTCTTACAATAAATTATATAGAACATAAACTTTACTGTAGGTATTTTAAAAAATGAAAATATCTTGACAGATATCGATGTAAGAAAAGTTTATTAATAGGAAAAATACCGCGTAGAAGAATGTCAAAGATTTATATAAATTAATAATTACATACAAGGTGGTCAAACTTTCATCAAGGGCGCGATTATTAAATTCATTGTTGCCAACAATTGGCATATTCGGCGCCGGCGCCGCCGCCGTGCTGACTAACTGGGATTTAAATTTCGCGCTGGGGATTCAGGTGGTAGCTCTGCTGTAAAAAATGTAAAGTAGTCCGATTTATTTATTTATTTCCTGACATTGTCATTCGTTTTGACACTTTTTTGTATTACGAGTCAGGTTTAACTATCTATATATCAGGTGATACTTTAAGCTTGAAAATATTTACTAGCAGTGGAACATTAGAACTTCTTTTTAGAACCTCTTTTAGTGCGAAATTTACTAAATAGTTTAATAGCCGTAAAAAATCATTGCAACTTTATTAGAATATTTTGAACGGGATAGTACGGGTCCTTTATGCCCCTTAAGTGCTGTTAAGAAGAGTTTCGTTCATGTAAATAATAAATTTATTTTTGTTTCATAAAATATTTTGATTAAGAAAAAATATCTAAAAGTGAGCAACGCTGTGCCGGACAAGTTTAATCACGCGAGTAAAAGTTTATTTGATATGAACTATATACTTATAACCGAACATTATTTTTCATGCTATTTTATATAATAGCCTTGTTAAAAATATATATACAAGGATAATAGTAAAAATATAAATGCAACAGAATTTATCTACATCTATCAAATACCGTGTGATCGAAAAGAAAACGGGGTCAAGTTGGCTTGGAAATAAATCTCAGTGACATTTCCCATATAATTTTACGTATAAAATGACAGCGATCTTTATTTCATAACTATCGTTGACGCCGTTTTTTTTTAGCATATTGTATTTACTGCACAACTCGTTCATAATGGCAGTAGGTGAGTCAGAAACAAACGAATGTGACCAGCTGATACTGATAAAGCTGTGATATAAGTCATTTTTAGATTTCCTCGCTATAGCTGGAAGGGGCTATAGCTATAGGTAAGGTGCAGCTGGAAGTATGGAAACAATATTGTGTGCAGCTATACAAAAACCTCTATAAATCAGCTAACTTGCATACACTCACACTTAATATAGAAAAATAACCACACAGTTTTGCTCCAGTATACAGGGTGTCCCAGAAATAAGCGCTTGAGTATCTTGAGCTATTTCATCTAGTTACTGTGGATACGCCTTAAGTCGTCATACCATCTGGTTAGAGGACGGCCTCTGCTCCTGAATGCATCGTGTCTTGGTCTACATTGTATCATTTTCTTCGTCCATCGGTCATCGTTTAGCCTAGCAATGTGCCCTGCCCAATTCCATTTCAAAGTGGTTATTTTCTCTATGGCATCCATGACTTTTGTTCTGATCTGAAATTTAAAAATGTGAACTTATAAACATACAGAATGTGGATGCCTGCCGCACAGTGGGGTATTTGACACAGATAGTTGATCGAAATTTTTTTATGTAGACCTTATATAAGTTATTGCTATTTTCAATTAAAGAGGAAATAATATGAACAAAATAAAGGATAATTCGTCGATTTTAAAAAAAGAAAGAAAAATCACTGTTCCAGTGTTTCCACGGTCAATGCTACGACTGATCCGCGAGCAATACCCATACCACTAAAGTCGCTTCTAATGCCAAATTGTGCTATACTGCTAATGGCACTAATGCGATCGCTTTGTACACAACAATGCCATCGCGGTTTACACCAACTGCAACTTTTTTACTGCAACTTTGAAATGCGATTATTCGGAAACCTCTAGACAAAAAAGCAACAAAGTAGGATACCACTGAAAGAAAACGCCCTTTAAAACGATGTGCCACTTGACCCCCATTCCATTGTAAGGGTGACATCTACCCCTCCTAGGGGGTTGAAGGAAAAAGGCTAAAAATATTCCTTTAAAGTTACAAATAAAATTGACGTGTCTTTCCTATTTTTCATATTTTTAACTGCAAGAAAGATATTAAAGGTGGGAAGTTTTAAAATTGACACAGTGTACTACTATGTTGTTTTTTATAATTTTCGTTGTGTTCAAAAATCATAGATATTAAGGCTTTTATGTAAACATGTTACCCATTTTTACTAAAATACATAAATATAATAAATAAATGTTCATTCGCAAAATAGTACATGCATTTGTACAGTTAACATTGATAACTCGAAGTCTTGATAACTCGAAATTTTCATGTGTCAAATCGCAGTTCCAGTTATCGAAGTTCGACTGTATGACAGTTTTTAGCATTGTTATGTGTAGTTTGTTCTAATTCTGTTAAAGTATTCATTTTCTTAGGAGTCTTTAAAAATGCGTGATATAAATTTAACGCATCTTGTTCTAGAGAATTTATAAAAACTTGTGTAAACAGTCCACATGTTTATCAAAAATATTGATATTTTAATACAAATTTTGTCAAAGTGAATCTAATTATTACGTGTAAAAACCATTTGTTACACGTAAAAAGCTATTTTTATTATTTTACGCTAATAAAACTGTTATACGTAAAAAACTATTTTTTACGCGTATAGAACTATTTGTTACGTGTAAAAATCTATATGTTACACGTAAAAAGCTATTTTTTTACGTGTCAAAAACTTATTGTTTATGGTAAAAAAATATTTTTTTTCTGGTAAAAAGCCTTTTTTACGCAAAAAAAATGTTTACGTGTAAAAAAACTATTTGTTACACGTAAAAACTAATTTTTACGCGTCAAAAACTTAGTGTTTCTGGTATAAAAACTTTTTTACAGGAAAAAAAAATTACGTGTAAAAAACTATTTGTTACACGTAAAAAACTATTTTTTAGGCGTCAAAAACTATTTGTTTTTGTTAAAAAAACTTTTTTACGCAGAATAAAACACTTTTTACGCATAAAAACTATTTTTTACGCATAAGAAAATATTCCTTTAATTTATTACTTTTTCAACATTTCAAACATTTCCTTCAAATTTTTGAATTTAATAGAATCTTCCTAAACAGTAGATGTTATCATAAAAATATTTTTAGATAATATCCTAAAATGAAAAAAAAATGCATACTATGTATTTAATTTATTTTTATTGTATTATTAAATATTACGTCCGCCTATGACGGGGTCTCATAGAAAACGCTAAAGACGCTACAGAAAACAAATTGATTTGTTTTCATTTGCGTTTTTTGCGAGACACGCCGAACGCTAGACGCTTTCCTGTTATTTTGTTTTAGACGCAAAAGACGCTTCACGCTAAAAACGCTTTCTGTGTGGCCGTGCACTTAGTGCCATAACATAGATAAATGAAACAAGTTTAGATTGGAAAGTGCCCATAAGGACAATGTAAACACTATTTGGCGCTATTCTTGCAACGGTCGCGACCCAAAACTTTTGAAAATTTCGGGGCGGTTCGGCTTTTTCCGGAATTATATCGCCCAAATATTGTTTATTCAAATTTATTATTATTTTCGTTTAACTTTATAAATAAAATACAGTGTGTTGCATACAAGAAACTTTATTTTATATAAGGACGTATGTATGAAATACCTATGAAACATTGGAAACCGACGTTATACCACGATCCACGATGGTTTTTGCAGTTCACAGTTCACAGAACAGCTTTTTAAGTTTTTAATGCCACTTTTTCACAATTATCACCGGTTGGAGTAAATAAAACTTGAATTGAACTCACAAGATAGCAATAATTACTTTGAAAATGGACGCTATAAACACTTTTCGGAATTAATTTAATGAGAGCGGTTTAGATTTTGAAAGATTATTATGATTTTTGAAGATTCTGACTTTGACAAGAGAAAATTATTTCTGTTTTTGTTTGCCGTTGTTCTTAGCGACCGCTATAGCAGCGCCAGATCGCGTATAACGGTCGCGACCCAAAATAATTTCGCGACCCAAAATTTTTACGGGCTTTCCAATCTAAACTTGTTGCATTTATCTATGTGCCATAATGATATTTATTTACAACCACATATGTAATACTGACATTAATGACTTTTAAAAAATTTGAAAGTGTCAAATTATCTACATTTCTTTCCTCTTCCATTTCCCTCACCCACTCGGTTTTTCTTATTTCTCGCCTCATTTAATTAAGGAAAATATTCTTGTAATATCTTTATTAATACTTATCTAACATCAACCAAAATAAACAAGAAGATTAACAATAATAATTGAAGAGTTTAATACATTTATTTTTTGAAGGTAAAAATGCTAGACTTCTTTGACTTAAAACCTACATTCTGGCGTTTTAAAAAAGCGACAAGTTTGTGATATTTTGATATGTCAGTCTTTTCCCTTAAATCTAGCATTGTCCGTATCATGCTGTACGTAGTCCAAAGAGTAGATGGCTCTTCCTGCCTTGCCATGTCGCTAAAATATGCCATGAAGACTGTCTCCGAAGCAATATTCTTAACATTTCTTTTGGCACACCATTTTTCGTATACTTTCAATTCTATTTCATATCGCCCCCTACTTTTCTCTGGAAGTAAACTGGCTTCTGCTCTTTTTGTAGCTTCTGTAAGTTCTGGTGGAGTACCAATATTAAAAGTAGTCTTCATTATCAGAACTATTTCCGACAACATTCTGGCTTTCTACGTTATATAAATTCGAAAAAGCGAACGAGAAATTCAAAACTGTCACTTAGTTGTTTGTTTTGTTGTTGAAGGTTTGCGCCATAACAACCACTGGTACCGGTAACTATAGATTATATAGGTATGGAAATGCCAAAACAGAAAACGACAAATTTGCGCATATTTTTTTTCAAAATAAAATACTGTCCCTATTTTTGAATTATTGATGTGGTTGTAAATAAAATAGTAAACAAACCTCGGAGAAAAATTTTCATTATTGTCTCGAAATTTAGTTAATCTCGACGCTATGCGTCTCGATTAACAATACCAATCTCTCGACGATAATGAAACACTTCTTTCCTCGGTATGTAATATACTATTACCTATTTATTTCCTCTCCAGGAAGTTAAAAATTAGTAGGTAATTATTTAATGAATGGCCATTAAAAATCACAACAGTTTACTATAAAACTCTTTAATAACAATAGATACTAAAGAGTAAAAGTGTTAATTTTATTTTTATTTATAATTCATTATGCGCTGTTCTATTTAAAAGAAATAAAGATAATTTACAAGCATTCGAATATTGACATAGGAAGAAGTCACTGGTTACCAGCCTTTTCAGTAATTTGTGTCTTATTTTAAACATTTTTGATCCCTAATTTGGGACACCTTGTATATCTCTGAATGTCTTCCGGATCTGTAACACTGGGTGGTAGGTATATAAAATGTCAGAAAAATGCTTTTATGAAAGTAAAGCGGGATTGCAAAAACCATTAAACATATCTCTGTCATCAGTACCCACCTAACAAGATATATATTTCACCTTTCATAAACAATGTAAAATTAATATTTATTTTGAAATAGCCTAGATAAAACTATTATGTAATTATGCAATAATTTTTCAGTAAAACACAGTATGTCCATATCCATAAATTATGTAGGGATATGTTTCATGTGAACAAGCTCAAATTATAACTATATATGATATTAAAAAATGCCAAATTAACCATTTTTAATTCTTTTGTAAATACACAAAATTGGTTTTTTCTTGTGCATTATTTAAAATCATAAAGTCTTCTTCTATATTGGTCGTGCAATACAATAATTACCTATTTTTTAATTGTGAAATATTTAAATATATTGATTGATATAATTATTAAGGACAGGGTTATTCTGAGGAAAAATTAATTGAAAAATTGTGCCCTTCTTTCTCTGTACAAAATGCTATCTAAAATTCTGTACTATTTCCAGTTCGAACAACTTTTTTTTAATAATTAATTTGTATATTCGATTTCGGGTATTCTAATTAAAATATAGTTTTGTTTTGTTAAATAGAACTCCGCCTTATAGTCAAGAATTGTCCAATTTATAAAATTATTATAAACAATAATATGCAACCATTTATACTCACTATAGTTATTACAAGTTGCATATGGGTGAATAATTTTACATGAATTTTATTATTTTAAAAAATAAACTTAGTATTATACCGGGTGTTTCAAATTCTGCCGGTAAGAAATAAGAATAGTGGCTCAAATTAGAGCAAAATTGCCTATCATTGATTTATTAATAGGATTAATCATTGAACTTGAACTTATTTTAATTGTTTTCATCATTTTATATCAAAGTAGGCTTTGATAATTTTTTAATCTGGCATATTGGCTATTGTTATAAAAAAAATCTTGAAATTAGCTATTATCTGTAAAAATATGAATAAGCATTTGTAAAAATCTGAAAATTTTTGGACCAATTTTCTAGTGACAGTTGGTAACTATTTTCAAAGTCGACATTAGTTTATGGACATTATTATTTATAATTTATAACAGTTTACTTAAATGTACCTACAATAGTTTAATAAGTAAGTATTCATTATTTTATCAAGAAAGATAAAGCAGTAGTAACATACTAGTGATTTAAACGAATAGATATGTTACTAGTGATTTTATTTTGTGAGGAAAATTGCTTCTTGGCCTCAAGGGCTTATGCTTAAAGATATCCAAATAGGAATCTTCCTGATAAGCGTTCGTTTGAAAAACTACTTTTCCTATTTCGCAGAGCTGGTAGTGTGGTATATAAAAAACGTATTAGGCAGAAATCTGTCGATGGAAGTGAAGAAAATAAATTTGCTGTAATTGGCTCTCTTATAGAAAATCCATATACCTACAAGTCATCGTAAAATAAATCAAAGAACTACTTTTTCGTTTCTCTTGATAGAATAATAAATACATATTTAATAAATATTATTTATATATTGTAGGCAAATTAAATAAAAGTAAACTGGTATAAATTTAAATAAGCCCGTAAACTAATTTCGATTTTGACACTAGCTCTCTTTGTTACGATTTTATTGAAAAATTACTCTTTTTCAAAATCTGAGCTAGATAGGTATAAGAAACCTTAATATAGTTTGAGAGAGAATTTGAATCTGCTTCGATTTATTTTAAAAAATACAGGGTGTTGTATTTGAAATAACGAAGTTTTAATGTAAAATAAATCCTTAAAATAGATCAGCAAATTTTGATACCCCTGTATAATAAATAGTACTGAAGCTGTGGTTGGTTCTTTGTGAAACATCGTTGAAATATTAGTATTTTAATAAAACACGCTTTTAGATGTATCAAAAAACTTTTAATAAGAGTAACTTTAACTCTACATATATGTTTCGGCTTGTTAGGCCTTTTTCAAGAGTTTTTAAGCACATTCTTAAAAAAAATTAATTTTAAAGAGTTCTTAAAAAACTCTTGAAAAAGGCCTAACAAGCCGAAACATATATGTAGAGTTAAAAGTACTCTTATTAAAAGTTTTTTGATACATCTAAAAGCGTGTTTTATTAAAATACTAATACCCCTGTATAAATTTAACGAGGCAATAACATTTTTCTGTAAAGTTTATTTCTCTACCTTTAAAGTCAGCACAAGAATTAATTCTGAAAAGTAATGTACAGGGTGTTAATAATCTATTCTAATTTAAAGAAGGCGTCCGTTCTTCTCAAAGAAACCTGGTTCAAATTAAAAAGTAGAAAAAAGATCGAGACATTAAATATTTTTTCTAATTTTTTAATCTATTCTAATGTAGCATGCAAATTTAAATATTTTTAAATATCTCAAAAACCAAATATTTTAAACATATTTAACCCTTATAATAAATGCCTTTTTCTTGGGCCCAAGAATCCAAAAATGAAAGAAAATACAGGGTGTTCCATAAGAAAAAATATAACTTTGGTATGGATCTTAGTTCCGAAACACTCTGTATATTTCAAAATAATTTTAAATTGTGCACATTGCCTCCCCACATTTAGCCATAAAATATTTTGTTTCTACATCTTTCCGTTTTCGTATGATTATACGGTTGATTAACCGAGGCGAATGAGGTGCGCCACCCTGTATATTCACCTACTGGGAAAATAAGTTCAAATAAAATTCACTGCCTCCTGGACTATTACTAAACTTTGTTTGGCCTGTATCCTATAAATATATTGTCAAATATCAAAATGCAAAAATATTTTTTCGATAATCTTTATGTTCTCTGATTGGACAATTTAAAAACTTCTATATTTCTTCGCCAAAATGAAATTCTCTCATTCCCTTGTTTAGTGAAGAAATTATACGGAATCAAACTTATTTTATACCGGATCTCTAAAGAAGACCATGAAAATATTATCAACCGACCACCTTGTTAGTAACCAGGTAGCAATTAATAAAAAATTGTAAATAATAAAGTAACGCCCATATTGAAATCATATATCTACTATATATTCATATTTGATAAAAAAAATCAAGGCTTGTCCTTAGTGCCATTATATAAAAATGTTGCTTTTACCATGCAATGTTTCTATAAATTATTCGAAAACAAAGCAAAGGTTTATAAAAGCCCGAAGGTTTAAAAATCAAACAAAGGTTATTCAGTTTGTTGTTTATTTTATTTATTTACAAAGAAAAACACACATTATTCTAATTAATAAACGGTAACTCTTTCACAATGATTTTTTATATTGTTTTACATACAGCCATACCTTCTGTTTTTTTTTATCTAGATATGTATGTATATCAGACCAGTGACTCGTATAAAAATAATAACTTACTAAAATCTAGTATGTACATTTATTTTGTTTAGAAGAAATGAATGGAAATCTTTTTTTTTAATTATTTTTCACAGTCAAAATTGAGCTACTTTTGAGCTATCTAATATTTATTTGTATTTTCCATAGCCACCTTCGAGTCCAAAACCTGTAACAAAAATAAAAATAAGGTCAGTATGAGTATCTACGAATATTGTAGAAAGAATAGATCAGACATATTCCTGCTAATTTTTGATAAATTTTTGTATTAATTTATACCAAATGATTCACAGAATTATTTCCTTGTATATTAATATAAACTGCCATTTGAAAGTAACTAACTCTTTGTATGGATCATAATACCCTCTAAAGTATATAAACTAACTGCAAAAAATTATTTAAAATTTAGTTTCAAAGCGTAAATGTTTCTCTATTTTATCTAGCTTCCATTGACATTAAGTGTCAAACTATCAGACAGTTTATTTTCTTCTATCAAAAAATTAGTTAATTTGAATTTAGTTTATTATAAATACTGTTGCTAAAACTTTATAAAGTATATTTATAAAAGTATATCTCGTATTTTAGTGATATCCAATGGCAATATTATGACATGGCCAGATATAGTTTTACATCGCTTGACGTTTAACGTCATAGGCTACTGCTTAAAAACCAGAAAAATATAGGCTTTAATTCTAAATCTTAAATAACTTAAAAACGATTTATTTTAGGTATAGGAACATGTATAATCAAAAAGTAACGAATTAAAAACATTTTCACTAGTGAAAAAAAAAGTGGGTTTCCGTTTGAAAAAATATTATTTATGATAATTTATTAATCATATATATTATATAACATATTATATGGCACTCAAACAATTTAATTTTTGAAATTGATAGCCACATGTCTTCTCTTTATGTGACAATATCTGTGGTAATAACTAAATTTGACGTTTAGGCTATACAATTTTTTTTGACAGGCCGGTTTTTCCTCCAAAAATTTTCAATATTTTTTTTCTCAAAAACGGTTATTGTTAGGTATAGACCGTTTGATACCAAAATTCATAAAATTTTAAAGATAATTTAAGTATGTAATAAAAATGGGGGTAACCATTTAAAATAAGAAAGTTGCCGTCAACTTATTCAAAATATTTTTAATCGATAGATCTCATTGTGAAACAATGATGAGCACAAAATCTCCTAACTAGGTGTTATTCTCTAGAAACTTGAAATGAACGCTCAGCCTGGGACACCCTGTATAAGGAGGGCTTTTGGCTTATTGAAATGCGATCTTTACAGATCTTTTGCGATTCTCCGGTCCCTAGATTCAATTTCTAAATCGTATCCTTTCTATAGAAGCTAATAACTTTTTGAAGACTAATCCTGTCAATTATGATCTTTGCCAAATTATATTTACCTCAACAAAAACGTAGTCTGTGTAAAAAAATGTATATACCTTAACAAAACGTCAACAGTTTTTATAGACGTATCTGTTTCTAAAGTATTCTCGAAAAGTTGCATTTAGATATTTTAAATAGATTTTTCTTTGCTGTTTGTTTTTTTTTTGCTTCAGACGCCGGGAGGAGATATACTTCCCAAAACGTTAAGCATTTTTTGTCCGAGATAAATTTGTTTATTAGTAAGCCACTGCTGACAATTAGTCCCCGTTGGATTAACGCGGCAGTGTTTACAAAAAATAACTATTTTATGTCGTAGATTCTTACAGTGGCGAAATACCCAAAGACTTTTTTGGAGACATAGTCGCTTAATACAAAGAACGTTCATTGAGTTCAGCCAATTCTTCTTATAACTAAATATGCACATATCTTTGACTGTTATAGATTGACGCTCAAACTTATTTTTACCTCCTTTGCCAAGTCCGTAACCTCCAGCACCTCCTAATCCGATACCTCTTTCGAAACCACCACCGCCTCTTCCTAGACCAATTCCACCTTCAAGACCACCGGCGTAACCCACGGCAACTGGGGTGGGTACTGCAACAGGGGCTGGTACTGGGATGTCGTAGGGTACTGGACGTGGTACGGGAACAGCGACAGGTCTGGGAGCATCGACTGGAACAGCTGAAAAATAGTGTAAATGGTTATTATAAGCAGAGGTAAGAGGTACTTGAAAAGAGGTACTTGAAAAAAAATGGTACAGATTTAGCTAGAAAAGGAGCCAACACTCCACTAACTGGACCAGAACCGTTCTGCTTCCCAATTGGAAACCAACTTAAAACAGAACCCAAGAACCCGGAAGACTCCATCAGTAACCTGGAAGGGGAGACACTTAAACTATTTCCCCAGGATTTACGACCGAGAAAAATCAAAGATTTACCTAGATTTAAGTAAGAAAAATCTAGTTACGGGGTTTTTAACAGGACACTGTCTCCTCAATGAATACCTCATAGACGGAGAGCTGACTATATAAAAAAAAAACTTATCATCGTTATATGATTACAGTTGAGGGTTGGATCCTTTGGTGTTACACAGCAAAATAAAAACACTAAATGACCACAATACACCAAAACACTTTTACTTTTACACTGGACGCGCGTTTCGCTAACCATGTTAGCATCATCAGCAGATGATTACAAACTGAATTATAAGTTAAACTGAATTATAAGTTTATAATCATCTGCTGATGATGCTAACATGGTTAGCGAAACGCGTGTCCAGTGTAAAAGTAAAAGTGTTTTGGTGTATTGTGGTGATTTAGTGTTTTTATTTTGATCGTTACATGGCTAATTTTTCTTGTGAAGTATCTTTTTATGTAGCCATTTTGAAATAGTCATGTCTGCCAGCGCGATCCCGGGGCTTAAAGCGAGGGCGGCTAATCGAAAGGGTGAAATTTTGACACTAAAAATATTAAAAGGTACAAGAGTTATAATTGCCAAATAGCTTTTATTTATTATTAAGAAACGTGTAAAATTGTTGACAGACAGTTTTCTCGTGACTAAAACGCCAGCAGACAACGCGAAAAAAACATGGAATTTTACAAAAAAAAAATCATCGCATACATCAAAACAAAATACATCAAAAAGCCATCGCATGTCGATTGGTGGAATGTCATGTTTATTGTTTGTTTATTTAAAAAGCCGTATGCCAAAGGGCAAACAAAAAAATCGGGGCTTAATCAGCGGTAGACAGTTATCAAAAGCGCGATATCACTCTACAGGGTGAATCTTGAAAAGTGCAAATATTTTCAGAGCTGGTAGATCTCGATAAAAGAAACATATTTTCTTTTTACCGTTTTCCAAAGTCCAAAATAACCGAGTTATTCAAGTTTGAAAATTAAAAAAAAAATGATTTATTTTTAACTAATTTCGTAAGCCACCTGTTTTTTTTTCTGTATTTGCATCCATCCTTTTAGTGTCGTAGTCATAGAGTAAAGCCGTAAGGCATGGTAGGTTAAGAAATAATTATACTGTGGGTAAATTTGCGGTGAACAGGCAGTTCCAAAAAGTTTTCTAAAATATACAGGAAAATTTTTAAAAATGCACGATTTTCTATTTTGTCCCAGAAGTCAAAATATATCACGAAATATATCATAAAATTTTTAGTGTCAAAATTTCACCCTTTTGATTGGCCGCCCCCGCTGTAAGCCCCGGGATCGCTCTGGCCGACATGACTATTTTATAATGGCCACACAAAAGGATACTTCACACAAATAATTAGACATGTAACGATGATAAGGTTTTTTAGACTATCAGTAGATTGAAACTAGGATACAATGGCGAATACAGATTCTGCGGGGAAAATGAAATATCAGAACACCCCATCACGGACAACCAGTCACATCATAAAGTTAAGTATTATTGATATCAGAGATGAAGAACTAACCTCTGTAAAATAGTCTCAGATACTCGCTAACATAATCTACAATCTACAACCCAATGGTACTTACGGACAGGGCGTGGTACTGGAATGGGCCTGGGTACATCAACCGGTACAGGACGAGCTACGTGGACGGGGTAAGGAGCGGGTACATCAACGGGATATGGACGGGGTACTTCCACGGGTCTTGGAGCTGGGACGGGTACAGGGACCGGACGTGGGACTTCTACAGGGTAGGGAGCTGGTACAGCTACCGCTACGGCACGGTTGATGACCGAGGTGGATGCGGATGCTGTGCGCACTCCGGTAGCAATGGCGCCTCCTCCGATTCCTCCACCAAGTCCGCCACCAAGACCGGTACCTGAAATTGAGGAAGAAACCATCAAGCATATTGTCTAGTAATAATTTTGGCAATGCTATAGTCAAGTATAACCTACTCTTTATCACAATACACCTCAACACAATACAGGGTGCTACAAATTCGAGGTACGAGCATTGCTATTTCGGAAACCGTAGTAGACACGAAGATGGTTAAATTAGGACAAAGTTGCCTCCTTGGGATGTTCACCAAGATGCCATCAAAAAAGTTTTAAAAATTTCAAGGATTGCTGAGTTTTTTGGAAATCAATTTTATTTTTTCCTGTCGTTACTTTTTAGAAAATCAAAAACCTAATTGCAAATTCTCATAGCCACTATCTGATAGTATTTTTAAATTTTCAAATTAGCTGATAATTTGTGAGATACAAAGGCCAACTTAGTTATTTTAAATACGGACTTGCATTTTTTATTTCAGGTTTTGAAAGAACTCGGTCTCCTGAGTACAATGATATGCCACACTTGATACTTTTTCTTTGTTTTGGGTAACTTAACAATAACAAAACCATTTAATTATTATTTAAAATAATTTCAAGTCCAACTCTGGTTTTTTAATTTATTTAATCTGATTATATTCATCACAACAATATTGATCAGCGAAATTAACATTGAATAAGGAAAGTCAAGCCAATTGAGAGATTTAAAAAAATAATATCCAGGTCAGCAATTTAAAGATATTATTTTTAACATTTTTTATTGTGAATTTGAAATATCAGTGTACGATCTAATAATATGCATAATATTAACCGGAGTTATTATAAATAAATCAACTTCTACAAACTAGTTTCTAATGCTCTATACGTTCTAAAGTATTCATAATGCACAAATTTATTTTTCCTTCAATCTTATTTATAGTTTTTTGAACATTTCTTCTTCTTATACTTCCGAATGCATTTTGTACTATTTATTGTAAATATTGAAATGTATTGATTTGGCTTTTACAAATGACGTCAAGTAATGCCCCCCCCGCTCCTTGGCGACAGGTCCAGGAACCTCGCTGGCCATTACACTGCTCTACCATTTCAAATCCATCTTCCCGGGAAATGATTTGATTGTTTATGTTATATTATACTATTTATGTTGTTTATTTTATATTATTTTTTATTATTTTATTGCATTTGAATTTCCGTATTCAATGTTTTACCCAACGTTATTGCTAAGGTTGAATGCTTATCAATATTGTAACGATGAATAGATTAAATATTTAAAAAAAACAGAGCCGGACTTGAAATTAGTTTGAATAAATTATGTCCAAATTTCCGAAACAAAAAAAAATACTAAGTGTGCATATCATTGTACTCAGAAGAACGTGTTCTTTCAAAACCTGAAATAAAAAATGCAGGTCCGTATTTAAAAAAATTAAGTTGGCCTCTGTATCTCACAAATTGTCAGCTAATTTGAAAATCTAAAGATACCATCAGATAGCCCTAATGAATGTGTAATTAGTTTTTTGATTTTCTAAAAAATAACGACAGGAAAAAATAAAATTGATTTTCAAAAAATCTGTTTTTTCCAAAAAACTCAGCAATCTTTGAAATTTTTAAAACTTTTTTGATGGCATCTTGGTGAACACCCTAAAGCGCAACTTTGCTCCAATTTAACCATGTTCGTATCTATTACGGTTACCGAGATACCAATGCTCGTACCTCGAATTTGTAGCACCCTGTATATTGAACTTTCGAAGCATCTTTTGCTAGCAATGTTAGCATAACCAGAAAGTGATTGAAATATTTTAATTAAATCATTATTATTATTACCTAGACGTCATTTACTAAAAATTGACATAAAACTTGTCAAAAATTAACACTAATTATACGAGGAAATTATTATCGATTGTCATTCCATAGCCGTCTTAGACGCCGTTTTTTTTCGATCGTATTGTATTTAACATGGTTAGCGAAACATAAGCTCAGAGTTCAAAATAAAATATTTAGCAGTATTGTAGTAAATACTGTTATTTTACAATCATTTATGTTCTTTCCCAAAAGATAAAATTAATCTGCCCAACGAAACGGTGGTTAGATCTCGAGAAAATAAATAAATTTTCTATTTGTCGTTTGTTGAATAACTATACCTAAAGTAGCCGAATGCTTTTAATGTTTCAGTTCAGGTCAGAAAATTTGTTTAATGAATAATGTTTCAGTTCAGGTCAGAAAATTTGTTTAATGAATGAGTTAGAAAATTTGGAATAAAATATTATTTTCTTGCGGTAAAAATGTGTCACACTCACAAAAATATTTGCACTTAAAAAAAGTACTTCTAGGAATTAAATAGAGCAAGCAAAAATTAATATTAACTGAATTTTACAACAAAAACTTCAAATAAAATGTGAAAAAAACATTTAGTGAATGAAGTTTGATGAACACAAAAAATATACAGGGTGAGTCTTAAATAAATGCAAATATTTTCAGGACTGGTAGGTCTCGATAAAAGAAACATATTTTCTCTTTACCGTTTTTTTAAATAGGTCCAAAATAATCGAATTATTATACTTTGAAAATTTCCAAAAAAAATATTTTTTTTGCTTGAATTTTGAAAACTGGAAAAAATTTTTTGAGTTTTTTCTTTCTTGTAAATTTAATCTACTACCTGTTGCCATATTATCAGAAAATATGATTTTGAAATAGAAACTAAAAAATAATAACAAAAGAAATATAAAAAAACAACAAATAAAAATAATAAAAGAAAAGAACCAAAATTAATTGGATATTAATATATCTTGAAAACAAAAATATCTTTAATACAGATTGTATCGCAACGTATACCGTAGAACACATTATTTCTATTTTATAATACCGTTGGATCGAAAAAAACTGGTGTCAGCGATGGATATCATTTTTTTAATTCTAAAATTATATGGACAATGTCATCGATTGTCATTTCCAAGCCAACTAGATGCCGTTTTTTTCGTTCATACGGTATAATAAATATGTAAAAAATAAATACGAGAAAATCCAATAAAATACTGTTAATGTCGTTTAACTTACCGAAAGTACCGATTCCGGCACCAGCCAAACCGGCTCCTCCAATAATTCTACCACCTCCAAAACCTCCCCCATAACCTCCATATCCAATTGCTGGTTTAGCCAAAGTTAGGATAGGTCCTAAAATACAAACAAAAACACTATTAATCAAATTAAATAAATATAAAATAATATTAAACAGAGTATACAATATGTTATTACTTATTATTTTATTACCTTTAGCGTAGGCATAATCGCCCAAAAGCAAGCCTCTCTTTTCTTGTTTTTTTGGTACTTCTTTGGTAGCAATGGCTGCTACTAAAGCGAACACTAAACAGGCCTAAAAACAAAAATAAAAAAAATATATTTAATGCACCCTTCAAAAAGAAAAAATAAACTTTATAATAAAAAATCCTTGAGAATGCTTTTTTAATTTCAAAAAATCTGTCCTTGAATATATGTTTCTTTTCCGTAAAATAGAGTTAAGTAGAATGGCTTACTTGGAATGCCCTCATTTTGTTTAAACTGAACCTATTTCTTCGGTGAATGTGCTAAAGTTCTTGAATTTGTTATTTATATCAATGGCAGTACTGCATCTAGCACCCCTCCTTGTCGTTAAGCTCACACGTAAAGGAATATAATGCGGAGCTTACATATGTGTGTGGCAAGTATTTCTTTGTCTCTATGTTGTCACTAGGATTTTGTACTAATATTGTGTTTAGCTTATTTTCGATAAATAGAGAAGAATATTAAATAGGTACCTTAAAAAAATTAGTTCATTGGCCACAATTCACCTCTATACAAAAGTACTAAGTGTCCGTTAGAGGGCATCAAACTTTAAAAAAATAAACACATTTTTTTAAAATATTTTTAATAATCGATATTCCGATTTGAATGAGATTTTGGGTGCCTATGTTCTGCTAAGCGCTCTAACATTTGACTTCCACAGAAGTCACGAAAAAATATGGAAAAGTTGAAAACTACACTCAGCCCTACATAAATTTTAGTAGAAATATTTGTCAACTGCTCCAACGAACGATTTTTTTTCGTAAAATTGTCCTCCTAGTAATTACTACATTTTTTTGTCTTTTTTAAAAAAATGTCACATCGCTTTGTTTTTGAGAAAAAAATTGAAGATGTTTTTTTTCCAAACCAGGCCTACAAAATATACAGAATGTTAATTCATTTAAAATTTATGAGGCTTATTGTCATATCCATTATAACGAGTGCGTCTCAAAAGTGGCTCACCCCCTATAACTTTTTTATTTTTTCAGTTAAAGAAACGAGATTTGGTATGTTAGTATATGACATAAATTAGGATTGATTGACGTACCTATTGATTATTATTGAAACTTCCTGTTTCACCGGAAATGACTGCAACTTTTGATTTTTAAATGACACACTCGGTATTTTTTTACTTTATTCGATAGAAAAGAACACTCTGAATAGAATGACATACCATATGTCAACTTTTGACATTTTCGCATATGGTTTATTTAAAATTATAACTTGCGGTTCATAACGAAAATTTGACTGAAAATACCAAGTGTGTGGTATCAAATTATTCGTAAAAAATGCTTTTTCCAAATATGCTAATGAGCCACCCTCGTTCCATTTGAAAAATTTCAGATATGATTAAAAATACGATTTGAGCATTTTCTAACTGGCCAGGACAATACACTAAAGACATTAGACGATCAAATCTATTTTTCCAAGGCTCCTTGATTAAGAATTAGTGTTTTTGACATAGCCATGACACTCTAGATTGTATTTTAAAATACAACTTTTTAATAAGCAAGAATATCAAAAATTGACATATGGATATGTCATTCTATTCAGAATGTCATTTTCTATCGAATAAAGTATAAAAATACCGACGGTACGGTGCCATTTAAAAATCAAAAGTTGTATTAAATTTCAGGAAAACAGGAGGTGGCCAAAATTGAATACGTCAACCAATCCTAATTTATGTCGCATATACTAACATACCAAATCTAGATTTTTTATCTGATGAAATAAAAAAGTTATAGGGGTGAACTACTTTTGACACGCACCCGGTATACACACATATCATTTTATTATACATAATCATAATGAGAAAAATATGGTTTTTCCTCAAAAAATATGCGCGGTGTACTAGAAGGACCTTTTTACAAAAAAATAACGGTTAACAGAGAAGTTATAATATATTTATACTAAAATTTATGTAGAGGTGGGGGTAGTTTTTACCTTTCCCTTACATTTTCGTGATTTTTGTCAAAGTCAAATTAAAAAGTTCTTAGCAAAACATAGGTACCCCAAATTTCATTCAAATCGGAATGGTTCATAGTATATCTTAAAAAATGTGGTTATTTTTTTAAAGAACGCACTTTTGGTAAGTATAGGGATAAATTATGTCCAATTAATTTATTTTGTTCCCTGTTCAACATCGTAATGGACGAAATCATAAATGAAGTAAAGCAAGCTGGGAGAGGATATCGACTGGAGATAAAGAAATAAAAATAATATGCTATGCTGACGATGCAGTACTCGTTTCTGAAGACGAAGATAACTTACAAAAGCTTCTATAAGTTCCAACAAACGGCAAAACTATTTATCATGCAAATATCCCTAAAAAAAATCCCTTACAATATTTAGGGAGCCTAGAAGATGCAAACTCGCAATATATGATCAGAGTGTAGAACAAGTGATGTCATTAAAATATCTAGGAGCAAATATAACAAGCACTAGAAATCTCAAAGAGGAAGCAAAAACCTAAACAACAAAGGTGTCATTAATATCAGGATATTTAAGAATATTATAAGGCTTGCGTGAGACCGGTTATGGACATATGCGATAGAGACTAGAGCAGAGCACAACAACAAAAAGCCTCCTAAAAACAACAGAAATTCTAACACTTAGATCAATTACAGGATATATACTTTATATGACCGGAAAAGAAAAGTAAAGTAAAGTAAAGATTTGAAGTTAACGTCTCCTTTCTGCTGTCAGAGCTAATCTGGACGGGGCCTACTTTGTTTACGCGGAATCCGAACCGCGGTCCTCGGCCATATCATGGTCAATGGCCTACCGACTTGGCAAGTGCCTAAATCGACTCTTACTCACGAGATATCTGATCTCATCCGGCCTCGAACCGGCGTGAGTGAGCAGTGTGTGCCAATAGATTTTACGCTTTTGTCTTTATTGGACAACAGCACGATATAGAGTTTCGAACCGGTCACCCGTCCATCCACTAGTATCGTCTTTCGTCGCTTAACTTCGGTGTTCTAATGGGAACCGGTGTTTCGACGTAGCTGGGTCGTTGCGCTGACCAGAAAAGAAGTGAGGATATAAGAGAAACATGTGAAGAACAGGATGAAGTAAGATGGGCAGAAACAGAAGAAAAGAGTGGAGAGACCATGTGTACAGGATGCTAAACGACCGGTTAGCGAAAATTGCTAAAGAGAAAGGACTAAAAGACCCAACACGCCTCAACTGCCGGGACGACCACCTATAAGAATTATAAGATGGTATGAGAGCTGGTCTTCATCATCCCAACTGTTCTTAGGGAACCATTAAAGAAAACACAGGACTTGGTCCTAACGTACGAAAAAGAAGAAGAAGGGGACATAATATTGGGACACTCGAGTTTACACTTGATAACGGTCAGTGATTCTTCTGACCGAAACGTTGTGTTTATCAAAAATAGATAATAACAAAGTCCTAAATTATTTTAGTTTTAACATTGGGACACCCTGTATATACAACTCGCTAAATCCTGATGCGATTTTTTCTATTGTCAAGCAAACTAAACAAAGAAAACTAAAAATTATCTCTAAAAACAATTTAATGTAACTATTTATCGACTGTCCACTGTCCGTTAATGAATAGATTGTAAACTAATAAATAATACAAGCAGTGGACAGTAATAATTACCGTACTGTTATTGTACTCTTATTATCTATCTGTTTAAAAAAATCTGCCTTTTTTTCTACAAAATTAATTGGTTCATTTAATATGACAAACAAGGCATTAGGAGAAAAGTTGTCCAGAACAACGACAACTAGTAAAATATTGTATCGTTTAAAATGACTTTATTTCGGAGAACTTGATATTAAACACAAAATATCGAGTATACAGATACAGAGTGATAAATATATTTGAACAACTACCTCGTTTTTAATTAAATATATTTTAGAAAAATAATACAAAATAGTTATTTGTGTAACTAGTGCAGAAAGTAAAAAAATGTCTAGGTGGCGGATTCATCTCTCCAAAAAAATCCTTTATGGGTATTTCGCCACTGCACTGCAAGGAAATACTGGTTGTCATAAGTTATGTTTACAGTTATACAAATTTGCCTAACAATGAAAAAAATGCTTAACTTTTCGGAAAGTTTATCTCTTTCCGTCGTCGGAAGCAAAAAAAAATACAAAGAATAAAGAAAAAAACTATTTAAAATATTTAAATTCAACTATTCGAGAACACTTTACTTTTTTAAAACAGATACGTATACAAGAAACCATTGACGTTTTGTTAAAATTACATTAAATTAAGTTAAATTTCAAAATTAACAATTACTACCTGATAACAATTACTTAATAAGGTAAAACCAAAAAGCCCCAAACTTTTTGTATGATTATTTTTAAATTTTACGTATGTTATGTTTATTTATGTAATGTTCTTTAAAATCAAAGAAGCGATTGCCATACATTACTAACATCTACAGATGCATGAGCAATACATTTGTTTTTATGAGCTTGAATTAAAAAAGCTTCTTTTATTTTTCTTTTAGAGGCTATCGCTTCTTTCATTACTAACATCAAACGCCAAAATTTTAATGGAAGAAGCAATATTGCTTCGACGACGGCAAGAGATAAATTTTCCGAAATGTTAAGCAGTTTTTTCTTTGTTAGGCAAATTTGTATAACTAAACATAATTTCTGACAAGCAGTATTTTCTTGCAGTGCAGTGGCGAAATGCCCATAAAAGATTCTTTTTAGTGCAAAAAGGACATATTTGTTGCCCGACACATGAGTTTTCCTGCAATCACGCTGAGTGCAACAAAAAATATGATCGATCGAGTGTTTTTAATGCCACTTTTTCACAATGATTACGGGTTTGAGTAAATAAAATTTAAATTTAACTCACAAGATAGCAATAATTACTTTGAAAATGAAAACAAACTTAACCAAACTTAAACTTAGCTTTAAACACTTTTCGGTATTTTTTCAATGAGGGCGGTTTAAATTTTGAAAGATTTTATAATTTTTGCAGATTATCACTTTGACAAGAGAAAATTATTTCTGTTCTTGTTTGGCGGTTGTTCTTAGCAACTGTTATATAGTAAACGCCGCGAATGTTTGGGAGTGATTAATCGCTTGATAAAGTTAGAATCGACAGGCGTGCTATCATTTTTACATTAAAAACGTAAATTTTTACCGCAGACGTAGGTTTTTAAAGGCCCGGTCTAATAATCTGCCTGCGCTCCTCCTACTTATTCTAAAATGTTAGCGTGATTGACAAAGACGATACTATATCGCGTTTCTTTGATTGATTCGTTTTTGTGCATCAATCCATTGGTGTGCTTGCAGTGCGGCCAATGGGGCATTCCATTTTATATTTATAACCAAATATATGTTTTGACAAGACTTTGA